CTTAAAAAAGTACATTAGTCCACTCATGACCATAGTCTCACCAAAAGTGGTGAAGATTACGACCAAGCCAAGAAGTAGGCGTTTACATGCATGACTTCCATGTGAGGACCTCAGCTACAAATCCTGACGCAGCTGGTCAGATATTTTTAACTCAGGCACTGATAACCTAAGTTGGGTTCATAATGGGGTTCAGCTCCTCCCGGGAGGAGGCGTGGGGATGCCGGGGGTCTCAGCTCTGGGGTGCTACTGGGTGGTGAATAATGGCAGTGGCAGCTCCTGAGAATCACCTTCATTGTAATGATAAAAAAACCCCAGCTTTCCTGGGATTGAGTTTCTTCCAAAAATCTGAGTTTCCAGCAGCGGGGCAGGAACCCTTCCTACCCCACCAGCTACGCTCAGCCTGTGGGCTGGGTATGGCAAATGGAGAGTCTCACGTAGCTAAAACTCACCAGGAGGATGGCTGGGTATGGGCAGGCAGGTCGCTGTCCCGGCACATGGGCTGTCCGAGGGCCCTGCTCCTGGCTGGGTGACATCCCCACCACTGGCAGGGACACCGATGTGCCCTGGGACCTCGCTCACCGCTGGCACCGCACTGTTCGTGGCAGGCAGCAATGCCCACTCCCTGCTCCCTGCCAGCATCATCACCGGCTCCGTGCTGTCCACGGGAGCACCAGAAGTCCTTATCTCCATGTCCGAACTTCTCACCTGGTGGTTGCTTTCAGTGACTGAAAGGGAAAACAAGAAAAAAATTAAAATCCCAGCAGTGCTGGACGTGCAGGCTCGTCTCGTTGCAGTAACACTGAGGCCAAGCTCTGATCTCATCTACACTAGAGAAAAATTCGCATAAGGAAAACACAGACATGATTTATTTTTGGATTCCCACCAGTGTAAATTAGATCGGTCTGGGGGGCCAAATGCCAAAACCCACCTTTGTGCACAAGATGAATTCAGTTCAGCACCCCTGCGCTTTTTGTGTGTGTTAGGAGAAATAATTCTTTAAAGGAGCGAAAATACAGTCTTAAAAAAATAACCAATGGAGATATATGCAGTATGGAACCTATGGGACGAGTGTGCAGGTCTCCAGAGTTGATGGCCAGCTGGAGCCCAGCACAGCCTGCGTGCCCCATCCCGAGGGCGCGACGGGAGCAGGGAGGGCCCTGCAACTCTTGCCCTCTCTCTGCTCAGTTGGTGCTTGCTGGACGCCTGACCCCAAACCCCACCACCTCCAGAGAGCTGGCATGAAGCTGCCTGAGAACTGCAGGGCAAACAAGAGGGTTGGCAGAACCCAACCAGCCACCACGAGGCACCAGGACAGGAGACTGATGGCTGGTGTGGATGACACTGGCGAGCCAGGTGCTGAAGCACCCCAAGGTGATGGACATTTTGGAGTATCTGATGCTAACATCCACCAGAACATGATGTCATGGTTTAACTCAGCCAGCAACTAAACACCAGGCAGCCACTCACTCACCTTCTCCCATCCCTGGGAGATGGGGAAGAGAATTAAAGGGGAAAAGGGAAGGAGGCTCGTGGGTTGAGATAAGAACAATTTAATAATTGAAATAAAATAAAACTAAAAGCAATGATGATAAAAACCAATAATATATGATAATGTATTAAAATGATAATAACATATATAAACAAGTGATGCACAGTGTAACTGCTCACCACCGGTGACCAATGCCCATCCCAGCTAGCTATCTTGAAACAGAGAAGTCCTGAAACCACAATCCCAGAAGAGCGAGAGGTCTGAAGAGAGATCTGGGCAGGTGGGGAGAGAGAGAAAGTCAATTTCCTAGCCAGCCCTCACCTATATACTGGGTATGCCGTTGCATGATATGGAATACTCCATTGGCCCATTTGACCCTCAATCCTAAGTCTAAGTTCAAATCATAATGGGGGTTGTGGATCCCTTGTCCTGGTCATGCTCCCCCTCAGCCTGTTGTGCTCCTGCACACTGGCAAGACATGGAAAGCTGAAAGGTCCTTGATGTCTCAGCATCAACTATAAATGCACATTCTTTTCACAACAAATCCCATACTAAATCCAAAGCACAGCGCTGTTCTAGCTACTAAAAAGAAAACTAACTCTGTTCCAGCTGAAACCAGGACACATGAGAAACAAGATGGAGAAGAAGTCTGTGCATCCGCAGGTCCATTTTCTGTGAACGAACGTGGCTGAGCCCCTGCCCAGTCCTGAAAGTGTTTGGGTCTGCTCTCTTCCTCCTGCTGGAAGGCTGCTCCAAACTCTCACCTCTTCCATCATTCAGAAAAATTTTCTCATTTCATTAGAAAATGAATAAACATATATATGGAATAAATGTTGGTTCCCAAGCCAGCACAGCCCTTTACCTTAGCTAGATCTTTCCCTCCCTCTGCTTGCTCCCCACTGTGCCAATGTGTAAGAGTAGCAATCTCATCCCCTCGTCCGATCTGCTGCATTTCATGGAACCAAAAAGGACTTCTCCCAGGGAGGTCAACAGGCATTACACACTTTACAGGATCTCCAAAAGCACACAGACGGCTGTGTGCATCTCTAGAACATATAATCATGTTCCCAAATCGAGCCCTAAGCAAGGACTGAAGATGTTACTCAGTAGCCAACGTCTCGGGTCAATCATTAACGCTGACCATGGGCAGCAGCAGCAGGACCTGGTGCAGTAGCTGTAGCTTCAGCCTTGGATCTGCCATCCAGCCTGATACTGTCTGGAGCAGAGCATCTACTGACAGCTGCCATGAGCAGTTCCAGTGAGATGTTCCGGGGCAATCAAGGTTTCCAGCTGTGGTACCAGCCACGGCTGCGAAAGGATCTCCCTGCACATCGCTCATGTGAAAATTAGCAGTGCCTGTCCCTGCCCTACTTTACAGCCCTGAGGCTTGGCTGGCACTGCAGCCTCAGTTGCTCTTCCAAGTCCACAATACGTTAAAGCAACTCCAAATCACAGCTGTGTCATCTGAAACAGCCAGACTCCAGTTCTGCCCATGTTCCTTACAACCAAAACTCAATCTCTGGGCTGGAATAGCCCATAGCTTGCTCCAGTTGTTTAGCTGGCAGAGTGGGAGCCTGGCTAAAGAAACTGCAATTTAGGGTGGCAGGGTCTGAAGCTTCTCAAGAAACTGAGAAAAGTCATATAGGAAGAGGAACTCTCCCTACTTTGCAGCTCAAAGATCCACCAGGCTACGGGACATGCCCAGCCTGTGACACACACAGCATCTCAAAACAGGGCTGGAACGATACACAGGCAGCAGCTAAAGGCATGATCCAGCCTCTGCCCAGAAGCTCTGAAGTTGAAGGTTAAGCTTTGCACATCTGTCCTTGGCCTCTAAGCACTTTCTGTAAGAAAGCTGAGCCTCAGAGAAAAGCCCCATGGGACACCTACTCCTCCTTGCCTTGCCTGTCTCCTTCAGGGTTGCTGGACCTGCCACGCCAGAGGTGGCAATTTTGGGAGCCATCTCTTCTCTCCATCTACAATAGCTTCAGTGGGAACTCACCAAGAAAAAAAAAAAAGAGAGACGTAGGTAGTACAGTCTGCATTTCATCCCGGGGCTCTGAACACCACAAGACCCAAGGAGCCAAGAGCTGAGTCCCTCAGGTGCCGTTACCAACAGCCTTTGCCGTGGCCGTGATGCCCACCTTGCCTGGCATGCCGAGCAGCCGCTGCCGT